GTAACGCCCACATTGTAAAAAGAGGCATGGGGGCTAATTTTCTTACTTAGACCTTGAAGATGGTAAAACACGTAAAAAACAAACTTCCGGAGCCCACGGTCACGGGACTATTGTTTTTGACCCAACTAAGAGTCATGTATTCCAGTCTAGCACATTTAAAGACAGTAAATCCCCAAAAGAGCCTTTGAATTCTGTTTTTTGTCTCTCCTGTAAAATTTACGAAATCAGAGTTGGACGGTTGGAATTCTCCGCCGACGATATATTGTCTCAGTCTTGTGTGTTGTGTCCTTAGTCTGAAGATAATCACTTGTTCTTGGCGGGACAGCTCATGGTAGTTATCTGGTGTCTGAGGTGCTTTAAATAGTGTAAAGTTTTTATTTCTGTGTAGTTAACGCTGTTGTCTGGTTGCTCTTTTTGTGCTCCTAGTTTGGCCATCCTGTCTGCCTGCTCATTTCCCAAGACACCACAGTGTGATGGAATCCACTGCAGCATGATCCTCAGACATGGGATGTCCTCAAATTCTTTTCGTAGCCTTGGTAGTTTGCCGGAAGTGATTGCCTTCAGTACTGACATGGCATCTGTTAGGAGTACTACTTGGCTTTGGGGGTCTACCACATTCTTGAAGATGTTTGCTGCATGTACTATAGCCTCCGTCTCTGCCCTGTAGTTTGTACAATGTCGCCCTGTTGGGACTGCCTCTGCTTGTCGTCGTCCATTTGGGAACTGTACGTACACTCCGGCTCCTCCTCTTTTCACAGCATCAGTGGCAGATCCGTCTGTATAGATCCTTATCCATGCTTCTCGTGGGTATCTTTCTTCAACTTCAAGCATGGACAGGGTGAGGGACTTCTTGCTCAGGTCGCTGTGGTCATCTTTTGTGGTGAACATAGGAATGGACGTGTGTATAGATATGTTTGTGTTTTTCTTTTCCCATGATGGTGCCTCTGGGGTGTGATTCAGCATGTTAACTGTGGCTGGTAGATGGTCCTGTAGGGATCTTTGGATTTTTCTGCTTTCTTTGATGAAGTTGGATCTTTTGAGTCTTGCGGTGTTTGATCTCGCTGTTCTCGTGTGCAGTATATGATCCTCCATAGCTGTGGCCTTGGTGTACTGTATGAGGGCCTTGCATTCCCATCTCCTCTGCAGGGCCACTATAGATGTTGTTTGTTCCATCTTTTCTATAGGCGTTGACCTCATTGCTCCAGATATTTTCAATTTTGAAACTTTTCGCCACTTATACCCAACAAATTGGATACAAAACGAAACGGCGTCCATTTCTCTGCATAATAATGATGTTTTTGACCCAGTTCTATTCTTGGCCCGAACGCGCAGAGCCGTTGAAGATGGTAGCATAGGCAAGGTCGAAAAAAAAAGCCCGGCCGGTCCCCCGAAAAGCGTAAACGGTGGTTCTAAATCCAAACTTGTAACTTTCTTTCCCATGAACACATATAAATAAAAAATACATGTGGTTAATGAGCTTGAACTGTACTTTTTATTTATGTTAAAGTTTGTTACATTAAACAAGCACTTTGTGTGATAAACGCCATAGAAAATGGTTAAAAAATTGGCCTCGCGCGGGCAGCGTTACGGGCGGTTTGAGGTAACTAATAACAGGGGACATTATTTATAAAACTTTTGTTTTTATACAGTGGAGTCCACTTATAACGAGTCCGGAAAAAACGAGAAGTCTGTTATAAAGACACTATTCTAAAGCCCCGTTTATTTCTCCTCTTTACCTTTGTAAATAAAATACTGCTATTATAGCGCTATCAGACAAACAAGAGAGTCGGTTATAGCGGAATATTCCTGCTGCTGTGCACAGTGCATAGACCAGTTATACATAATGTAAAACCTCACCAGTTGAGAAACTTGTTGGTGACTTAGCGAAACAAAGAATGGGAGAGCCCATGTGCGTCAACAATGAAGGCCGGAGCGACTGAGTAGGGAGGGTGTGGCATGCGCAGACAAGCAGAACGCATCGCGTGATAGGCCAGTGTAAGCCTAGTTTAGATTTAGATTATCAAGGCCTACCATGCCTCTCACTTCTCCGATGCGGGGATGGAGAGGTCACAGTCAGCAATGTGATGGATGGAGCAAATATGTGACGTACGCAAGCAGACAGAATTCACCTCAGGGCGAGGTGGGGTGGGGGAAAACACAGCGGGTGAGTTAGCCCAGAACCCTTTTTTCTGATCGGCAACACCGAGCTGTCAGTCGACATCGCTAGATCTAGCGCTAGAGAAAGAAACCTGATTCGATTTTTGATCAATTAAGACCTAGAGGTTATGTTGAAACAAAATCCATATCAGGGGAGATAGCAAAAGGAAATAAACAGAACACCAAACTCATAGATTAGGTCTACTTTACAGTTCCCTTGAATTTATTACTGGGTCCCTTATAGCGAGAATCCTGCTATAACGGACATTTTGTTCCGGTCCCCTCCCTCTCGTTATAACAGGATTCCACTGTAAAGCTTTCTCGTCATATTTTGGAGGTTTGCTTTTCTCTTTGTCGTGAATGAAATGGACTACCAACTGATATCTTGTGCATAGGGTCTGTTTTACAGTGCTGCTAAAAGTGTTAAATTTTGTTCTCAGTCTGCAATTATTTTCTTGTCATTGAGTGTAGTTTCTGTCTGCAGATGATAAAAACAACACCTTTATCCTCGTTCTAATGTTATACCCCAATTTTTTTCTTTTCTATTCTCTTCAACCAGGAGAAGATTGAACGTCTCCAGTCATACTACACAAAAGCTGTGAGGACATTCAACTCTTCCCCAGAGCTTATGCGTGATGCGGTCATGGCTGCGTTGCTGCACAGCACCAGCTCAGACGAAGCCCCAAACCTTGATAAATGCCCACCCGGTGAAAACAGTTGGTGCTTCTACAACAGACAAAAAAGCCTAGGAATCACAGCACCATCACATTTTATAACGGAAAGCTGTCTACATACCTGAACCCCACCGTTGCTTCATATGTGAAGCCTATTTATGAGCGACTCACCACTGATGAGCTGATGGGGAAATGTGTGCCTGGCATGACGCAGAATCAAAATGAGAGCTTTCATTCTCAAATTTGGTTAAAGTGCCCCAAAACGGTCTTTGTGACCAAACCGAGGGTGGAGGCTGCTATAGCTCTCGCCTCAGCTCAGTGGAATTTGGGGGCCCTTGGTACCCAGACATTTATGCGTTTTCTGGAGCTGCAGGTGTCAACCCAAACCCTGGACAGTGGCACCAGAAGGGACTGCACGAGAATAAAGAGGGCGGAAATTGCGGTAGAGGGTGTGGCAAAGAAGAGACGCCAGCAAAGGAAAATGGCAGCTAGGGAGGAAAGGAACCGTCTTTTGGAGGCGGAAAAACAGAGTGGTGGACTTCTCTACTGCCCAGGGAGAGGAACTGACTAGGCAAATAGTACTCCTTTTAGCAATTTATGGTTTTGCTTCCTATTTTGGCAAGGTGGAATCAAATGTTTTCGACAAATTTTCCTTCTTTTCTTCTTTTCAGTTGATACTACCACTGAATTGACCTCTCTGTTTCATCACTACCTACGGTATTTTTGGGGTACTTTTTTCTTTGAATTAGTTATAAAAGAATGTGGTACATTGACAAATGATTAATTGTCTTTATACAATTCAGTTCATGCTCCTATCTGTTTCGGTTAGAAAGTTTTGACGAAATCAGTAGGCCTACATTTTTTCAAGTTTTCTCAAAACTATGAAAATTAAGGGGTATGGGTTCCGGCCCGGATTCTCATTTTAAACACAAGTGGAGGATTTCTTTTATATTTGGCCTGACTATGTGAAAATGAATTTTCTGTGATCCTGGATGGGCTTTTTTTTTTTACATCTCTCACTGATTTTGAAAAATGCAGTTTCGAGTGCTTCAGTTGATGCGAAAATGCAAAAATTAACAGAGTCAAGCAATAGCTATTACGTTATCCTCAATATCTCTTTAGAGGTTTCAAGTATAAATAAAGCCCACCCAGGATCACAGATTTTATTGTTAGTGTGCATATGTGAAAATATAGGCACTTTAGTAAAAAAAAAAAACTGGTTGAGCGAGAGCTCGGGCCGGATTGAGTTAAAATTGCTTCTGTAAACACAAAACATGAAATGTTTTCAGATTCCTTAAATAAAGATTCAATTCCTCTGTCTGACTTTTATTTTGAACTCCTAAAGTGTTTTATGATCACTCTGAATGATGCTGGGATGTGTTAATAACAAAGTTATGGTGAGATTTGTTATTATTAACTCTGGAAATACAGTTAGTTGCTGAATCTAAAATTTTATTTCAATTCCAAAGCCCAAAGGCATAGCAATAAGTTAGATCTAGATCTAGCAGTTGTAGGCTCTCTGGCTGCTTCTAGCATCTATAGGCCTGCTACTACTGATTCTAGCATGGGTCTCAATAGTCCGCTATTTAGCGGATTTCCGCTACCTCCTTTTCCTCCGCTACCGCGACAACGGGCCAATCAGAAAGAGAGTTGTTGGGATCAGGGTGACTGCCAGGCCCCGGGAATTTAAAAAAAAGCCGAGACCCGGGCATAAAAGATCTCGAATATTTGAAAACCAAATCCAATGTCTTTAAGTTCATTTCTGCCGGTCGCGATTGTGATACAGTGGAGTCCACTTATAACGAGTCCTGAAACAACGAGAAGTCTGTTATAAAGACACTATTCAAAAACCCCTTTTTTTCTCTTTCTTTATCTTTGTAAATAAAATACTGCTATTGCGCAATCAGACCGTCACGCGAGTCGGTTATAATATTGCTGCTGCTGTGCACAGCGCACAGACCAATAAACATATTATAAAACCTTGCTAGTTGAGAAAGTTGTTGGTGATCCAGCGAAACAAAGAATGGGAGAGCCCATGCGAACCAACATCAACAATGAAGGCCGGAGCGAATGAGTGAGGAGGGTGTGGCAGAACGCATCGCGTGATAGGCCAGCCCAGTCTAGATTATCTAGGCATACCGTGCCTCTCACTTCTCTGGTGCGGGATGGAGAGGTCACAATGCTGTGATAGATGGATGGAGTGAATGTGTGACGTACGCAAGCAGACGCAACGCACCACAGGGTGTGCATGTGGTGGGGTGGGGGACAACACAGCGGGCGAGTAAGCCTTGAGCCAGAGCCCCTTCTTTCTGATCGCCAAGGCCGATTTGTCAACATTGCTAGTGTTAGAGAAAGAAACCTGAGTCGATTTTTTATCAAATAAGACCTAGAGATCATGTTTAACAAATCATCATCAAAAAGGAATAAACAGAACGCCAAACTCATAGATTATTAGGCCTACTTAACTGACTATCTCCCTTGAATTTATTACTGGATCCCTTGTAACGAGAATCCTGCTATAACGGACATTTCGCACCGGACATTTCGCACCGGTCCCCTCTCTCTCGTTATAACAGGATTCCACTGTATTAATTCGTCGCTGAGAGTACGTTTCACGCGAACTGGCGGCAAGCGGAACTGTGTCACTACGGCTCGACTGGAAAATCAAGATCTACTTTCGCTTTCTAACCCAGAAATTTGTCAGTAATTGTCTGATAACGCAACATTTATGGTTTTTTGTTTTTTTGTTTTTGTAAAGTGTTTTACGGCGCTCGCAACTGCATAGGTCATGTGAGCGCGCGGGACACACCTAATATTTTCAGTTGGTAGGAAATTTTGAATTTTGCCCGGGTGGCGGCCGAAGCCTACTCTTATCGATTTTAGACCACCAAGGGATCTTTAACGTGCGCAACTTGCACACGGGCCCTCCGAGACTTTTTGCCCTTGTCCGAGAAGGCTAGGTGTAGATCTTTCCTACTAGTGGGGCAGCTAATTGCAAAAATCAGCCGAATCATTCACATCGTCATACAAGCACCAAAATTGGCATACATATCCATTATGACATGCGTATTCATAAACTGAACGTTTACCAGGCAATTTTTTCAAAATGGCCGCCATTTTTCAAGATGGCCGCCATTGCCGGTATGCGCTACCATAATGTCACACAGCATGAGGCAGTAGAGCAAATTTTATGATTTTGGTGTCAAAATATATGTAATCAACCATGAAGAATCCAAATTTACATATGCTTAAATGATTATCACCACCTTAATATGCTTTTTGAACATATTATAACAATTTAAGTGGTTTTAAACTGCACTTTTGACTCTTGTTTCAGAACCCAGCCAAATCACCAGGATGGGCCCGTGGCACTAATCATGAATACTTCCCCCTAACTTTCACCCATGACTTTCAATAATTTGCTTGTGCACTGCAATGATCACATCCATATAAACTACGTTTGCTTGCGGACCAAACTAGCTGACGGTAGAATGTGGAGTGCCGCTGAATTTGAATTACTATATATTATTTATTGTGCAAGAAGTCTACAGATGAGGACACTTGACTGTAAAAGATGCTAGAGAAGTGATGTTCAAGCACAGCCAGGGCATACTGGCGAATATCATTGCTGTGAGATCCAGCATGGGGTCTAGTGTCAACTAAATTAGATTAGGTGAAACAATACCGAAAAGCTACAGATGTTTTGCTTGTATAAATAGGCCTACTACTAATTTAGTCTCCCAAATGCTATCTAATAAGCCCCTAATAATTAGGTAGCCGCACCTGAATTGACAGGGTGTGCCAGCGCGGGAGAGCCGAGCCAAGGGTAATGAGGCTTTAAGTTACCTGGATGGTGTACAGATCACACGGGAGTTAAATGGCACTAGATGAATGATCGGACTAGGTGTAGGACATTGCAGTGTGATGTGTGAACCTAGTTGTATCCCATATACTTATGTGCTAAGGTGGTAAAAGGATAGTCCCTCGGCCTAACATGTACGAAAGATGGCGATTGCTACAATACCAAGATGCAAAACAGACTGGACAAAGTGCTGTTTATGCCAAGAAGACAGAGATGAAGAGTTAAAATGTCCTCCAACTCGCTATGCCACAGAGCAGGATGGGTACAGGATGATTGGAAAGAACATACCTTTGTTTCAGTCGATCAATGAAATGCCAATTAAGTTTGATCCTGCCCTCCTAGACCAAGGCAGTGGTATTGAAGAAACCCTTCGAGCAAACAAAGCAAAGTATCACCAAAGCTGCAGGAGGCTCTTCAGCAACCAAAGACTGGAACGGGCCAGGAAAAGGTCAGCCAACTGTTGCAGTACAGAAGCAGAAAGCTCTTCAAAGGCGAGGAGAGTCAGCGTTGACCACAAATGTTCTGTTTGCTTCCTCTGTGAACAACAGTCTTCACTAACTGAGTTTAGACAGGCAATGACGATGAAGCTGAACAAGCGGCTGAATGAGTGTGCTCAACATCTTAATGATGGGTGGCTTTTAGCCATTTTGAGTGCTGGTGATGTGGTGGCCCAAGAGTTTAAGTACCATGCTACCTGCCTCGCTGCTCTGTACAACAAAGAGAAAACTCATCTAAGCAAAAATTCAAGCAGCATGGAAGAGGAAAATAGCGTACACCCACTAGTCTTCTCTGAGCTCCTAGCATTCATTACAGAAGCTAAACTGACCTCCCAGGGCTCTACAGTATTCAGATTAGCAGAACTGGCGGATCTGTACAAACAGCGACTTGAACAGCTTCGGGTAAATGCACCCAATGTCAACTCAACCAGGCTGAAAGAGAAGATCTTGGAAGAGCTACCTGAACTGGAAGCACACAAGAAAGGGAGAGATATCCTGCTGGCCTTCCGAGATGATGTTGGTTTTGCTTTGTCTGAGAGCTGTGCCTACTCTGATGCCATCATTCTTTCCAAAGCTGCAAAGATCTTGAGGCGTGACATGCTTGACCATAAGACCTCAAATGACGGAACATACAACATGGACTCCACTGAAAAAGCAGTTCCACCTTCTCTTCTCGAGTTTGTTGGCCTAGTGGAGCATGGTGATGGCATTAAATCTCAACTCAGATTTGGAGCATCCAAGGCAAACCTGGCCATGGCGCAGCTACTTCAGTATAACTGCTATGATAGATTCAAAGAAGGTGCTGCTAACCACAGACACTCAAAGGATCGAGAGACTCCTTTCCCCATCTACATTGGTCTATCAGCGTTTGCAAAGCCCAGGATGATGAAGCTCGTACAGAGGCTCCACACGAATGGATTTTAGCATATCCTATGATCGAGTGCTGGAGATTTCCGCCGAGCTGGGAGACGCTGTTGTGTCTAAGTACATCAGAGATGGAGTCGTCTGCCCCCCAGAGTTGCGAAGAGGACTGTTCACCACTTCGGCCATGGACAATATAGACCACAATCCATCTGCTACAACATCAACAACATCTTTCCACGGTACAAGTATATCACTGTTCCAGCACCCTACTTCCGAGAATGAGGGAGAACAACCGCAGAAACTGCAAGTAAGGGCTGTCATGGTGAAGACAGTCCCAGAACTTCCAGACTCTTATGCGAACATCAAACCTGCACATTTCACCAATAAGAGTCCATCTCCTCCTCAAGTGACTAGCATGGCTCCACCAGACGTGGAGATTTTTAAACCACAGCAGACTTTGGAGTATGAATGGCTCCAGAAAGTCTCCATCACAGAGGTCTATGACAATGTAAATATCACATGGTCTTCCCATCACGCAGACAAGAAGAGAGGTCCTGCATTCAAAGCTTGTATATCCACTATGCTGCCTCTGCTGAGAGACCAAGCCCACTCTGTAGCTACAGTACGACATGTCATGGATAAGATTAGGGATGCAGTGAGGTTGCTTAACCCCGGACAAGTGCCTGTGATCACAGCAGATCAGCCGATATACGCCACAGCCAAACAGATCCAGTGGCAGTGGCCTAAAGATTATGGCGAAAGCCAATTCGTCATCATGTTTGGAGGATTACACATTGAGATGAATGTGCTGCGTTCACTCGGTTCCCTCCTTCAAGACAGTGGGTGGACAGGAGCTCTAACTGAGGCAGGGGTAGCTTCCTCTGGCACAGCAGATTCTTTCCTAACAGCTGCAAGTCTCACCAAGACCCGCCAAGCCCACCAAGTAAAAGCGTGCAGCCTCTACCAGCTCTTGAAATCAGCCTACTCTTCATATGCAGAAGAATTGGCTGACCTCACTGACATCAGAAGTTTTGAAGACTGGTGTGAACATAGCAAACTACAGAGCCCACAGTTCCGGTACTGGCACATTGTGCTGACA